ACTAGAACAGAACTAGAACAGAACTAGAACCCAGAACTGAGAACAGAACTAGAACAGAACTAGAACAGAACTAGAACAGAACTAGAAACAGAACTAGAACAGAAACTAGAACAGAACTTAGAACTGTACTAGAACTAAACTAGAACTGAATTAGAACTAAAATTGAACTAGGGCCCCGAATTAGAATTACCCTCCAAATGATCCAGAACTGAACTTACCACTATTGATGTAAATGCCATATTGTTCCAAAAAGAAATTGACATTTGTATTAAACTCCTGCTCACCACCCTCACCCAACACTACTAGCAAAGAGCCACCATTTTCTATAAAGTTCTTCAAGACTTGAAACTCATCTTCGGTAAAATGATCCTGAGGACCAGCCAAAACAAAAATTTTCACTTTTGCTAATTCATCGAAATTTAAATCATGATCATTTCTAAGAAAGATAAGAATTCAATAGTTTAGTTATAAAGTTAGTTAAACAATTGAACATACTTACTGTTCGATATTCCATAAGGATTTCAATTTACGATGTAACATTTTGTAATTATCCGCAATTTGGAAACGTTCATTTTTGGAGCAATCAAAACATATAATAGGTTTTGAAGACATGTTTTTCTGTTTATTTATAAACCTGTTTTATTGTATTTGTTTTAATAATTATTGTTAATCGGCTGCAGAATATAAGTTTTAAGACAGTGACTAGTTATTTGGTGTATTTTTAATAAAAAGCATTTGTTTTTAGTTACAATTGCTAGGCAACCGCGTTCTTTTAAAATTAATTTAAGCTGGCAATGATTTCTTTGCTTTTGTGTTGGCAATGCTAAATTTATTTACAAATTTAACCCACAAGGTTGTTGACTTGGCTGTTTTTATTTGTCAATAGCAATAACACAGATTTGCTTTTATAGCGGCTTATATAGTGCTGCAATTTTCGTACTATGTTTAAAAAAACAACACTGTTTTGCCATATGTCATTAACACTACTCTTGATAAACAACCCTGTCCCGTTACTTCGCTGCCCGTCAAACGAACGAGTGATTTTTTCATCGCCGCCGTGTGTGGAAATTACGAAATTTTAGTTTTATTAAAAAAATTTTGAAAAAACCCACTACATAAATTATCAAAAAATGGCTTCAATTTGTGGACGCATGGCTTTCCGTGCCGCTGCACGTCAAAATGTCACATACACTCCAGTTCGCTTCTGCAAAAGTAAGTTCCAAAAATTTCTACTTTTAATCCAGAAAAATTCAGGTTAATTTTTCATCATACTCCACCTCAAGAAAGAAAAAAAACGAGGCTCTACTACATACAACATTTGACATTTCTTGACAAAGTGTTAGCAGGAAAATGTTACATAATTCATGAAAATATGGCTAAAAAGGAAAATCAAAGAAAATTTATGTTTTTTCTTTTAACATAAATGAAAAGTTCAATAATTTTTCTTGTCTTGTATGAAATCTGATTGGTTTTATGTAACACTTTGTGAAAAAGCAAAGACGGACAGACAATACTAGAAGCAGAAAAGAGAAAAAGATAATAAAGAAATATTTTTGTTTAAATAATTCTTATTAGATATTTGTGTTTTGCAATACTTTTGTTTAATTTCTAATTTTATTAAGAATTTTTTTAAATTTTTTGCTTAATTGCCAAAAGTTTTAATTTAACTTTCGCCTGCAATTTGCAGTTGTCTTTAATGTTTATGTAACCTTTGGTGTCATTTTGGTTTTTTTCGATTCTTTTATTCTTATGTTTTATCGCCTATACTAGTCTTGGGGCACTTGCTTGTAGACACCTTGCCCCTCTCATATGATGAATTACATCTTTTTTTGTTCTAGGGGTTAATGTCATTTAGCACCTTAGGTTTTTCAATAAATAAGTAAAAACAATTTGGTAATTGGGGAAGTTTTTGTAATGAATGAAAATAGTTTTGGATCAAAACTAACTGCGCAATAGTAGTTAGTTTCCAAAGTTTTTTGTTAACATTTGTCATGGGAACTTATTAATTCAATTGTTTAATAGTTATTTAATATTTGTTAGTACAATAAAATGAAAACTTGATCTTTGGCCCAGCCAAAAAATGTTATCAATTATTTTTAAAATATTAAAATTATAAATCTACTTAATAGTTATTTATGTAAAAATAACTTAAAGTAGAGAAGTATTGTTATGACATCGAGACAGATAAAAACAAAACTTCCTTTTTTAAATCAACTGCAAAATAGGTATAACTACTTTTCCTTCGGATTTGGTTATAGATAGAAGTTTTTCTAGGAATCAACGGAAATGATGTTCTCTAATGTTTTAATTATATATTGCCCTTTCTTCTTTTATTATACTGATATTTTGTTACAAATAAGTCAAAATTATTGATCTATTGTTTAAATTTCCATAAAGTCTGTTAACTAAACGACTGTCAGCAGTCTTTTCTACCCCACCGCCTGTCCTATTTACTTGTTTTCCAGCTGCCCTATTGACTATACATTATGTATATATCGGCAATTCTTCTAGTTGCTACAAATAGTGAATTTTCTTAAAGTACTTGGTACTTTTTGTAAAAAAGTACTAGAACTGACCTAGAACTGTACTAGAACTGAAATAGAGCTGAACTAGAACTGAACCTAAAATTGACCTTGAACTAAACTAGATCTAAAGTTGAACTGAACTAGAACTGAACTAAAACTGAACTAGAGTCGAACTAGAACTGAACCAAAAACTAAACTAGATCTAAAGTTGAACTGAACTAAAAATGAACTAGAAATGAACTAGAACTGAACTAGAACTGATCTAGAACTGAAGTAGAACTGAACTAGAGCTGAACTAACAATGAACTTGAAATGAACTAGAACTGTACTAGAACAGAACTAGAACAGAACTAGAACAGAACTAGAACAGAACTAGAACAGAACTAGAACAGAACTAGAACAGAACTAGAACAGAACTAGAACAGAACTAGAACTGAACTAAAAATGAACTAGAAATGAACTAGAACTGAACTAGAACTGAACTAGAACTGAACTAGAACTGAACTAGAACTGAACTAGAACTGAACTAGAACTGAACTAGAACTGAACTAGAACTGAACTAGAGCTGAACTAAAATGAACTAAAATGAACTAGAACTGAACTAGAACTGAACTAGAACTGAACTAGAACTGAACTAGAACTGAACTAGAACTGAACTAGAACTGAACTAGAACTGAACTAGAACTGAACTAGAACTGAACTAGAACTGTACTAGAACTGAACTAGAACTGAACTAAAACTGAACTAGAACTGTAATAGAACTGAAATAGAACTGAACTACAATTGAACTAGAACTGAACTAGAACTGAACTAGAACTGAACTAGAACTGAACTTAAACTGAACTAAACTAGAACTGAACTATATTTGAACTAGAACTAACCTTGAACTGAACTAGAATAAAAGTATGTACATATAACTGAGCAAAAACTGAAGTAGAATTTTAGAACAACTCAAATAGAACTGAACTAGATGGGTGGACCTGAAGATGAACTTTTGATATTAAATTTATTTCCTACTTTCTATTTTTAGTGATGAACGACCCCATGGAACACGCTACCGGTATTGAGAAGCGTGAATTGTTGGCCAAAGCTGCCGGCAATGATAATCCCTTCGACATGAAAGTGTTCAAGCGTGGTGCTGGTACCAAGGAAAACCCCAACCTGATACCCTCTGCTTTCGATGCCCGTATTGTGGGTTGCATCTGTAAGTTCTTATACTTTTTGAGATTCTATATAACAAATTTTTATATATATAACTTGTAACTTTCAGGCGAAGAAGATCAAACCTACGTACAATGGATGTGGCTACAAAAGGGTACCGCCAAACGTTGTGAGTGCGGCCACTGGTTCAAATTGGTTGAAAAGGCTGCCGTTTAAATTTAGTTAAACACCTCCTGTACACACCATTTACAAATAAACTTAAAAAATGTCGTTCTGTTTTCAAAACTTAACATAAATTTAAAGAAATTTAAGTTAAAAGTAACCTTAAACAATAAACATAAACCAAAAAAAACCTAAAAGTATAAAGTGCATAAATTATTTTCTCGGAAAAAATCAAAGAAAAGAAATTACTTAAGTCATACCATCCATCACTTAAGTTAAAAACATAGGTTACTTTTTTCTTTAACTTGTTGTGGAAAAATCTATCAATTATTATATAAATGGCTTTGCAAGTGCCATAATTTTAAATGATAAAATACCAAACACTAAACTTAAATTCTATGAAAAAATAAACCAACACGCTTGTTATGTTTAAGCCCAAAACCAATAATAAAAGAAATATGTTAAATGAAAACACTACCATTAAAGAAAATCCATTGAACAACACTTGAATTTTAGTCTTCTTTTAGCAGAATGAAAACGAAAGGAATCTTAAATGTTGTAGTATTAAAACAGCAACAAAAACAAGTGTGTTTTATTAAATAAGTTTAAATTATAATTTGCTAATTAGCATAACTAATTTAAATAGTGAAATAAATAACAAAACTATTACAGAAACAAAAACGAAATAAGTTAAATTTTGGGAAAGGGTTTCTTTATAGAGTATATGGTTAGTTATATAGCGAAGCAAATGGAATAAACAGACTGTTTAGAGGACTTTTTTCGAAGAACTTTGTCTAGTGTATAAACGAGAAGTTCTTGTCTAGTCTTTTCTACTTCCGTTTTTTTCTATTCAGTTGTAGTTTTGTTCAGTTCTAATTGCAGTACAGTTATTCTTTAGTTCTAATTCTAGATCAGTTCCAGTTCAACTCTAGTTTAGTTCCCATTCAGTTCTAGTTCTGTGCAAGTTTAATTGCAGTTTAGTACTTGTTCATTACTCATCCATTTCAAGTTTAATCCTGGTTCATTTCAAGTTCAGATCTACATAGTTCCAGTTTAGGTCTGTTTCAGTATCCGTTTAGTTCTATATCAGTTCTATTTATGTAGATCTCCTTCATCATCATTTGTGCTCCTTTTTCTCAGTGTATTTATTTCATTTTCTTGAAAAATCAAATTTTCTATGATTTTTCCAACAATTTTTAAAAAAAAATAACAAAAATATTCCATAATTTTCTTTTTTTAAGTTGATTTTTCATAAAATTTCAAATCATGTCCTTTATGTTACGCCGATTTCTTAATAGATCATTTTTACAACAAAGATTTTTTACCCAAACTCTTAAGCTAAAGCAAGGTAAGACAGATCTTTAAAAGCTTTCCACTTTTCTAAATGTTTTCTTTTTCAGAAATGTCCGATCCTTTGCAATTATGCACTGGCCTGCAGAAAAAGGAAATAGAAGCCTATATGGAGGGTAATTGTGATCCTTATCATATGAAGGTATTAAAAAGAGGCAGTGGTACTAAGGAAAATCCCACCTTAATACCTTCGGCCTTTAGTGGGCGTATAGTGGGTTGTATATGTAAGTGGGAACTATAAATAAATTCCATTTACAGATTTAGATGTTGCGTTTTTCTTTACATTATAGGTAAAGACAATCGTTTTGTGAATTATATGTGGCTGGAAAAAGATTGTCCAAAACGTTGTGAATGTGGTCATTGGTATAAATTGAAGGAAGTTGAGCGATTTTCTTGATTATTTTCTGATTTCTGTAACGAATACAATATTTTAAACTTACCCAAGTATTCTTACAGTATTTTTATAGAATTTCTTTAAAATCTTTTTTAATAAATTGTATATTTTCCGTTTTATTATTTCACCTTAACCTAAAGTCATACCCGTCAATAAATAACCACTATTTGCCTGCATATTTACCTCAGGATGTGTGCGATTGGGTAAAATTTGATACTGACGCAACCAATTCGAAGTCAAGTGCAAATTAGTAACTTTAGAGCTGGATTTTAAATCGACATACAATTCCATTAAAACCTCTTTACACAGACTAAAAACCACAACAGGTCTGGAGGGTTTAACGAAAGACAATAGTTCCTTAACCAAATTGGCGGGATGTTCTTTGGCCGCAATAACTAAAGAATCAAATTTCTGTTGCATTAGTGCCGCGGCACGTTTATTTTCCAATTGCCATTTTTGTAAGGCAGCGGCTGGTTTAACGGCTTCTTCAGATTTAGAGGAATCAGCTGAAGTTTCCAAAGAATCTAAACAAAAACATATTAGAGATTAGGAATCCCTATTAAAGTGTTTAATCTTATACTACCTTTATCCTCTTCATTCAATTTTTGCTTTTGGAACTAGGCTCTTCCACCTCCGCTGTCGTTTCATCACCTTGATAAAATTCTCTTAAAACCGAATAAATATTCACAGAAATACATCTTTGCAGTTGTTCTTCGGGTAAATTTAAAGCCAATATAGCCTGTTTTTGTGGCACATTACCCGGATGCATGTGAACCAATTGGGCTTCGGTATTCGCACCCATAGAATTCAAAAAAGCAGCTGGCAATAGACCATTTGAACCACTTTCATATAACAAATAATTACCAAAAGCCGAAATACCCGAATACGAGATTAACTGCGACAAAGTATCAACTCTTAGGCCCATTACTTTTTCGGCATCTTGACGATAGTATATCTCCGTTATTAAACGTATAGTAGGTTGTCTAATTTGTATATATTCAAAATATTTCTTTTCCTTTTTCTTCAAATACTTTTCCTGTGAATAAGCAGTTTTATTGTGAAATGTCTTTGAATTTTCAACAATTTTCTCTATAATCTTGGTACTTTCATTGCATTCATCTCTTAATTTGTCAATATCTTCTGGCTTTAGAGCCTGCGAATCGCCATCGTCTATTATATTACGATTGTCTTCACCACTCGATGAAATGCCCAATACTTCTCTTATATTACGCATTTCCAATTCATTGCACAATTCCAAAGAGTTTAACTTTTGACGTCCCCGATGAGACTTGCCCAAATCTTCTTTGGGGCACATTTTAAAGGTGGCACCATAAGGTTGATCGAGTAATGCCTTCAGCTCTAGCTGATCCTTGCCCAACATAGCGGTGGCATCTAAATTACCAAATTTTTGCAATTTGGTATATTTTTGTCGTTGTATGACTATATAGTCACCTAATTTTATTTTCGGTTGTTCAGCTAATGTTGTCATTGTGGATTTTAATGTTATTTTTTATGAAATTGTAAAAATATATATAAAAATCGGTTTAAATTAATACAAATTCACATTTGTAAACAAATAAAAAGAGAAATGTCAAAAACACGTGTAGATAAAGGAAAACAACTCTGTTATTTGACGCTAAACAGCTCTGTTTTTAAAAAGGCCGGCTATCAATTGCATTAAAACAAATAAATGCAGTTAAAATGTTCAAATGCAAATAGAATGTAAACGTAATAAATTAATTCAAAAAATAAATATGAAAAATTCTATAAATCTTCGAATAAGTTAATATTTTTGGTTATTTTTTATTAAACAGAGAAATGTTATGTTGAACATCTCTGTTTTCTTCTGTTATCAATGCGAAATGAATCTCTATGGTTAAAGAAGCAGCATATAAACGTAAACAAAGCTATTTTTACTAATTTCCGGGACAAAATTGCAAATTTTTGTATTTTTATTAAATATATTAAAGAAATATTAACACAAAATGGCTAAACATCATCCAGATTTGATTTTCTGTCGTAAACAACCGGGAGTAGGTAAGTTGTAACATATTTCTAAAGGAAAATTTGCAAAAAAAATAAATTTTATTCTCCAGCCATTGGCCGCTTGTGTGAGAAATGTGATGGCAAGTGTGTGATATGTGATTCGTATGTAAGACCCTGTACTTTGGTGCGTATCTGTGACGAATGCAATTATGGTTCTTATCAGGGACGATGTGTGATCTGTGGTGGACCCGGTGTTTCTGATGCTTATTATTGCAAAGAGTGTACCACACAGGAAAAAGATGTAAGTTGTTGAATATTAGGAAAAATTAAAAATAAACATTTTTATAATTTTTAGCGTGACGGCTGTCCGAAAATTGTTAATCTGGGCAGTTCTAAAACAGATCTGTTCTATGAACGGAAAAAATACGGGTTTAAGCAAAAGTAAGTTTAGATTTTTCTATTAAATTTCATAGATTTTTACTAATTTCTATTATTTTTCCATTTTAGCTATTAGCATTTACTTGTTCTATATCATATCTTACAATAAGGCTTCAAGAGTTATTAAGCATTTTGAAACGAATGGAAATTATTCAAAATTTGGAATTTTTGCTTTCAAATCGGGATTTAGAGTACTCTTTTTCATAATAAAAAAAATACTTGATTTACTTTGTAGTTTATTTTACATATTGAAATAATAAAGTAGTTATGGAATTATATGTTAGATACGGGTTTAAATTTAAAGCTAATTTAGGCGGTTCCCTCTAAAGAATACTGCAAGCATAGATTATCGAATTCCGACGACTTCTTATCAAAATCCTTAACAAATACACTTTTAGGATAAAATTGTCTCAATTGCTCCCAGTAACGTTGAATGGTCTCTTGAGATTTTCCAGTTAAATGCGACAAAACCATCATGTTGATCAAAGTGTCATAATCATTGTGTTTTTTAGTTAATGCTTCCCTCAAAACAGCTTCAGCCTCTTCATATCTTTCCAAACCCAAGTGGACCACAGCCTGGCCATTCAATAGCAAGGGGGTGGGCTTATATTTCTCACAAAATTCTTGATAAATATGGAAAGCATCCTGCATTTGTTCAGTGCCCAAAGATAAAGCCACCCAAGCTTGAGCCAACTGTGTCAATGTATGGTCATCCGAGATTTCTTGCATTTTGCCCACCAACTGTTTAGCCAAGTCAACACGATTTAAGCGCAATAAACATTGCACCGACAAAGCCATGGATTCCAAATTAGTAGAACCGTGCAAAATTTTTAAAGCATTTTCAAATTGTTGATCATAGCAGTAGACTATGGCGGTGGCTATATGCCAGATATTGGTTTCATCCTCCTCGATTGCTACCTTATCAGTAAGTTTCTCTAATATTCCTCAATTTTCTCAGGCTGTTCAAATGCCTCATTGATATAGCGCAAAGCCAATAAGGGAGTGTTATTGTTTTCCTTAATATCACTGGCTATCAATCTACCAGAATCTATGGCCAAATAGGACAAATACATGTAAGACAATAATTCTGCTCCGGCCGTGCCCTGTTCGGGTAAAACAAAATTGACGGAACCCATAAAATTACCAATGTAATACTCATTGCGGGCATAGAACAAGGTAGAGTTGGTATCTTCTTCTTGGGGGATTTTACTCATGTTGAATGTGTTGATTTATAAGCTAAAATCAAGAGTAATTAATATTTGTTGTGATTTGTTAAACATTTTACAAAACAAACCTTATTTTGTATTAAATTTTTATAACTTTTGTTAAAAGTTCTTTATTATTTTTCTATCGATAATATATGACGTGTTAAAATGTCAACAATGTGTAAAGGGGTATGTTCAGTGTTTAACATCAAATGTCAGGGTATTAACAGAAAAACACAGACATGTTATTTTATAGTTTACATTAAGTATCAATAACAGAGTTGCTTAATGATTTACCGTTAGCGGGAAAAAACAATGTTTACATTAAAATAAAGGAAAATTGTGGAAGTGAATTGCTCAAACCTGATAATAAATTGCAAATATTTAATTTAATAATTAACGTTTTAAGAAGATTTATGTAGCATTTAGAAGCGCTTTAATTGGCATTTCCAAAATTGTAAACAATTTATATATTATTAAACCGGTGATAACAAAAAATAACGATCTTTAAAAGATATGGTCATAAGCCAACCTTAGACTACGTGGAAGCAATTTTCATTCGATCGTGTGTTAAAAACAGTACAAGCATATAGATTTTTGAGTTAATAATGTAATTTGTGCAACAATTCTTCAAAAATTGTGATATCTTTAGGTAAGTGATGTCAGCTTTTAACTTACTGAGAAATCTAAAATTTATTTACATTTTATTAAAAAAGAAGAAAAAAATGTGACAGTGCAATATTTATTTTAACAAACATTTGTTAAAATTTTGTACATAAATCCAACTAAAATACCTACTCCTTTAAATACCTTGCAAACTTTCTCGTATATAACTACTTATAGATGATTTAGGATTAACACATTCCTCTATTATATCAAAATGATCATATGCCTTAAATTCCTTATACTCTGTATGCAGTTTTAATGCCCTTAACTTGTTATAATATTCTTGAGCTTGTTGCTTAAAGCGATCACTATCATTTTCCCCCACAAGAATGTGAATGCGCAGACCTTGCTTTTGATATTCCGCTAATAAATCCATATTGAACAACCAACAGAAAGGTGACAATTCCTTAGCCTTGTCAGCATTTACATTTAATATATCATTAGGATTAACACTTTTCAAACACCAAAGCTCTCGCAAATCATAAACTCCACTTATTAAAATATTTGTTCTATAAGATTTAAACGTTTTAAAGGCTGTAAAAACTCCTCACGAAACATTTGTAATGACAAATGGGCACCAGCAGAATGGCCACTTATGCATATCTTAGGTGCTTTAGTTTCGACGGCATACTTTTGCAACCATTTGTAAAAATTACAAATTTGTTGGGTAATTTGTTCAAGTGTAACTTGGGGACATAGGTTATAGTCCACTAAGATGATGCGGTAATTGTGCTCAATCATTGGGAAAACCAGAGGACCGGAAGTAGATTTATCCAATAGTTGCCAATAGCCTCCATGAATATAAACAAATATGGGAGTGCCTGTTTGAAAGGAAAAATATATACATATTT